TTCTAATTGGAATGCTAGCGCTTGATCAATCTTGGCGTACATTGTGATTACACTTCATTATCCGTAAGGAACTGCTGCATGTGTTTGAAATTTAAAAAAAACATATCCCGTTCGGGGCCATGGATCAAAATTTCAATAAAATAGTTACATCCAGACCGAACTTTGGTACACATGTACTTGAGTATTGAAAATGAAACACTGGAGGGTTTTGAACGCATGATTTTTTCCTCCACTTTTTGTGATTCTTTTGACGCCAGTGATCCTAATAGTTATAACAATGTAAAAGGCCACATCTTCAGAAAATTCTATCCGATGTAAATGGTATAATCTCGACAATTTAACATGTATACTTATCAGAACGATTTTTATAGATCCCTTATCTTCAGGACAAATAAAAAATACCACCTTTTAGAATGGCCTCCTGCACGGTAAACCTGTTTTCATTGGTTGAACGGTCACAACTTTGGCTTTGGTGGATACCCCCTTTTTTTCTTCTTTTTAATAAACATCTTTAAAAGCTTAGATCGGTCTTGAAATAATTGGTTTTGAACTGAAAGCGGTGTTGTCCCAAACTCAAGGGTTCACAAGAGAAATTAGAACTGGGCGCTACGCCATGTGTGTGCTTGTTACTTTGGCAAAGTCTTTTGGGACGGCGTTTTAATTTAAAACATCCCATGATGAGCTTTAGATTTAAAAAAAAAAAATAATAATAATAATTGTAAATACAGAATGCTAACCCGAGCAACGCTGGTTATATTGGATAGTTTTCTTATAGAAGAGGTCTCCAAACAGTCAAATTCAACCTCAGTTCATGAGAATATTAAAAAGAAAAAAAAAAGGAAGGAGAAAAAAATTCAACAAATAGAAAAAATTTTTACTTTACAACAAAAGAAAGAAAGTTAGCATCTATTTTACAGACACCATAGACAGAAACTTTGAATACCCCCAAAACCGAGACAATAACCTTGACATTGGGAACCCAATATAAATATATATATATATATATATTTATATATATATATATATATATATATATATATATATAAACTTTGAATACCCCCACAACCGAGACAATAACCTTGACATTGGGAACCCAATATAAATATATATATATATATATATATATATATATATATATATATATATATATATATATATATTGTTCTAGTGCGGTAGAGTACTCCAGCCCCACCCCCCTCCCACTTCTCTGGTATGCAACTACATGTCTCTACGCCTAAACCATTCTCACATTTTTATACACATGGAAAAAAAAGAAAATCCTTTTCCATTCTATCTGAATGGGTCCATGTATGAATTTTATTACAGTGCTTTATTCATGCTCAGAGCCTCTTATCATATAATAGGCTAAACGAAAAGAGAAGGTCACCACAGTGAATATTTGCAATCAGAGGAGAAAATTATTTCGTTGTTTTTTGTTTTTTTTTAAACTGCAGTGCGGAATGCAAGGAGAAGCCTTTGCTTTCAACTGACTGATCTTACTGAAGATGTATTTGTAAGGCATCCACTCTGCGGTCTTTTTTTTTTTCTTTTGCGCGCGTGGGGGGGGGGGCAGGACCCAGCCCCCCCCCCATATTGGCCCCCCCCCCCCCCCCCCCC